ACTTGGGCCATCTTTCTCCTCTTTCCCAGGCACATTAGCAAGGAACTGGATCAGAAGTGGAACAGCTGGGACCCGGACGGGCACCTGTGTGGGAAGCCAGTGTCAGTGGCTTAACCAGCTGTGGCACAACACTGGCCCCCCTAATTTTCTTAAAACTTAAATGTTGTTAGGAATTACTTGTAAATAACTCCTTTAGTTTGAGTTTTTCATTGGAAAACCTAAAAGGAGGTGTAGTATATTTTATTATTTTGGAAGAGAAATGTGAAATTTAAAACGAGTAATGTATTTTGTTCTGTTATAGATTCTATTCTTCATCAGTTATTTATTGTCCGATTCCTTGGTTCTATGGAAGTGAAATCAGATGACCATCCAGATGTTGTTTATGAAACGATGCGCCAAATCTTAGCTGCCCGAGCCATCCATAATATCTTTCGTATGACAGAATCACATTTATTAGTCACTTGTGACTGTTTAAAGTAAGTAGCAATCCCCTCCTAAAAAATTCTGTAGGGAAAAAAGGCTTTATTGCAGCATAATTAAAATTTGTTTCCCAAATTTTTAATTGTTATTGTAGGTTAATTGATCCACAGACACAAGTTACAAGGCTGACGGTGAGTTCAACATTGTTAAGGCTTTATTTTAAGTCTCTTGATGCATATGTACATCTTACAACTTGCTGTTAAGGCTGATCCTGTTTATTCACATATGATAGTGTGTTATGATTGATGTTTAGGCCAAACTAGTTAAATGTATGTCCATCTCGAAAAAGTTAGATTTGCACATTCCGTGTGAGTTAAAAGAATGAGTATACCCTAAAATCCTTAAGAAAAAAAGAACCAATACAATCCGACAATCCGGTATGATACTTAGTGTCCCTTAGTTACTTAGGGAACATATATCATTCACCAAAGAAATTAACAGGAGAAATTAAAAGATGAACATCAATGAATTGTCTATTTTGAAGTGGCTATAAGAGGATTTCTCCCTAATCATGTATGAAATAGACCATTTTTTGTTATTGAATTTGACTCTGCAAATGTATTAGTACTTAATAAAACTAATTCATTATTCAGCAACCTCTTGCTCTGCTTGGTAATTCAAAGCAAATGTATTGTTTATCTTGAATTACCCATCTGTTAAAAAAGTTGGCTTTAATATTGCTTGATAGCTGTACACTATAGAGTATATTTATGAGGATACTTCAAAAAGTTTGTGAAAAATCTGAAAAAGCTGCATGGATTTCAAAAATTGTTGTACCACAATGAGCTTATAGGGTGGGTGTTATGACACAGTGGATAAAGCTGCTGCTTGGGACACCTGCATCCCATGTTGGAGTGCCTGAGATCAAGGTCTGCCTCTAACCCAGCTTTCTGCTAATGTGCAGAAGCGACAGATAATGGCTCAAGCGCATGGAGTCCCTGCCACCCACTGGGGAGACCAGGATGCAGTTCCTGGGCTTTGACCGCCCCAGCCCCACTTTGTGGGCATTTGAGGGATGAGCCAATAGATGGAATATCTATTACTCTGCCTTTCAGATAAATAAAAACAAACAAGTAAATTTTTTGAAAAAAACCTAATAAGTCCTGTCTCTCCCTGCCTCTGCTTCCGCCTCTAACTCTGCCTTTCAAATAAATAAATCTTTAAACAAACAAAAAAAAACTCCAGATATAAGTAGTTATATGGAACTAGAAATTCTAAAGTGGTTTATCCACTTAAACTGAATGATTACATTGTTTTATCATCTTGAGAATTAAATAGATTGTAGAGAATGGAAAACCTCTTAACAGAGAAATTACTTTGCCCTGGTGAAATAATTTGGTTGAACTCTTATTAAAGAGATCTGTGATGCTGTCATCAGAGAGCTTTGGAAAAGCTGTGGTCTAACGGGAAATTTATAAGTACAGGTATGCCGAAGATTAAAGCATTTTCAAAAAAAAAAAAAAAACCCTTCAAATATCATTTTTAATGAACTTTTTTGAAGTACCCTCATAAGAGTGCTGCTGTAATGGTTTTAAAGATCTCATGTCTACTTATGTTTTCTGTGGCAGTTTCCATTACCCTGTGTAGTTTTGTATGCTACACACCAGGAAAATAAGCGGCTTTTTGGATTTGTTCTTCGGACATCAGGAGGGAGAAGTGAAAGTAATCTGTCATCAGTCTGCTATATTTTTGAATCAAACAATGAGGGGGAAAAGGTACGTGGTCTTTCAAAATGTTTCTAATGTGAAATGCATTTCAGAATCACAGGTCTTAAGATTGCTGGGGAAAAAAAACCTCCCAACGTTGCTTGATCCAAGCTTGTTGCACTGAGGAGAACCAAGTTGATGCAGGACAAACCCTCTGATCGGCAGGGCCATGTCTTCCAGACCCCCGATAGCTGTTCCAGTCTTCTAGCCTCAGCAGCTCCTAGAGTGGAACGTCTGTCTGTCCATCAGTAGTCACTTGGAGGCTTTCAGCTCCCAGCAGCATCAGATCTGTGTGCGTCACTCTTCGCAGGTGTTACTGTCTAATGACTGGGATACAGTAGGGTACACACAGGAGGTGACAGGCAGCAGTGCTTGCTGACTCTGAAGAAAACAGACAAAGCTTGATTTTGAGCCTGGAGGACTTTTAAATCAACTTTTGTTGGGAGTATACTGAGTTATAAAACTGGATGTATCAGCTATTGGGATACTTGAAATTTTTGCTTTGATGTGACAACTGCCTAAGGTTTTTGTACCATTTCCCATTTTAGATTTGTGATTCCGTTGGACTGGCAAAACAAATAGCTTTGCATGCTGAACTGGTAAGGAACCGAGATGCTTAATTTTCCAAGAACGTTAACTAAAGTGCTCCAATGCAAGCTGTTTTTTGTTAATTAGCAAGGTTAACTGTGGATGCTATTGCTAATGCAGAATTTAGAGTCTGGATCAATTCCCACTACTTGAGAAAGCACAGCAACAGCTTGTACACCCTGAAGTTACTTCATATTTAATTTATCAGTTTTATTCATCTCTTCTTTAGGATCGCAGGGCATCAGAAAAACAGAAAGAAATAGAGAAGGTGAAGGAGAAGCAGCAGAAAGAACTCAGTAAACAAAAGCAGATTGAGAAGGTATGCAATCCTAATGTCTTTTTTTTTTTTTTTTAAAGATTGCTTCAATCCATAAGTCGTACTTTGGAAATTTATATTCATTAAATAAAAGTTAAAAAAAAAAAAGATTGCTTGAAAGGCAGATAGGTATCTTGTATCCACTGGTTCACCCCCAACATGGCTGCAATAGTGAGGAACCCAAAACTCCATCTAGGGCTCCCACATGAGTGCCAGGGGCCCACGTACTTGGGCTGCTGTCCACTGCTTTCTCAGGCACTCCAGGAGAGAGCTGAATTAGAGGCAGGACAGATAGGATTCAGACCAGCACCCTTATGTGGGATGCCAGTTGCAAGCAGTGGCTTAATCTGCTGTACCGCAGAGCTGTCCCCTGGATCTTCCCCTTATATGAGATTTGTGAAGACTGACTTCAGATTTTTATGTATTGCATTTTATTCAAAAGTCACAAAAATAGATCTCCTATCTGCTAGTTCTTTCTAAAAGTGCCTGTAACAGCTAGGGCTGGGTCGGGCCAAAGGCAGGAGCCAGGAACTTAATCTGGTTCTCTCCAATGGGTGGCAGAGACCTAAATGTTTGAGCTGAGCCATCACCCGCTGCCTCCTTGGGTGTGTGTCAGCAAGAAGCTGAAGTCGGGAATATAACCAGTGTGGCCTTCCCACATGTGATGCTGGGCACCGTGAGTGACGTCCTCATCACCAAGTCAAATATCCTCCCCACTGATGACTTTACTTCAGTGCCGTGACTTTCAGATTGAATTTCCTCTTGCTCAGGGTCTTCATAACCAGACAGTTCACTGCAGAGCAGAAAACGGTATTTGTCTTCTGATGGGATGTTTACATTAGTTATATTGACATGTAGTGTGACTTGATTTTCAGCACATAGATCACAAATTTCCCTTGCAAAAGTAGTTCTTTTCAAAAAGCACGTTGCCTTTGGGGGACAAGAGTAATATTTTTCTTATTTTAAATGTTGCTCGGAGTGCCAACTGATCGTCTATCCAAAAGGGTAAGTGTAAGCTAGATGATTTTCAGAGCAAAATCTGAAGAATAACGTTATACGAATGATGCATGAGATTGCGAGAACTGGTGTGGGTTGTGGCACTGACGACAGGACTAGGAAAGAGGAGTCAGCTGTGGGATACTCAAGAACAGATCAGTAACAACTGGCAGTTGATTCCACATATGGACAAAGAAATGGCCAATGTAACGCTGAAGTCAAGCTTCTTTTATAGGCTAGACTGCAGAAGGTGACCCCTGCTTTAGCAAGATGAATTGGACAAGGACCGAGGAGACCTGGAGAGGAAGAAGGGAAGGGGAGTGGGGTGAGCCAGTATGAGGGTCTTACAGTGGTAACATCTTGAATTTGGTTATTAGCCCTAAAAAAAAGAAAGAAATGAAGATACCAGATTTTAGCTTGAATGTTGGCTTTGATAGGATTTCTAGGATGGTGCTAATACTCACTTTGGTGTTGCATTGTTTGCGTATAGTCTTTGTTTTCACCAGGTTGCCAGGGTTATGACAGGAGATTTGGAGTAGCTCTCAAGTATGTATAGTAGCTGTGTAGGTTTCCATTTCATTGCAGACAATTAACTTAGTTTCTTTTCTGTCTTTTCCACTAGGACTTGGAAGAACAGAGTCGCTTGATAGCTGCTTCCAGTAGACCAAACCAAGCCAGTAGTGAGGGGCAGTTTGTTGTCCTTAGCAGTAGTCAGTCAGAAGAGAGTGATTTGGGAGAAGAAACAAAGAAGAGAGAGTCAGAAGCATAAACTTACCCTTGCTTTTTGATGGGTAATTCCTCCTTTGGAATTTGACAATTTCTGTGGTGAAATGGCACAAGGTAACAACCATGTTGAAATACCAAGAAGGAAACTAAGCTTTATATGTCCTCGTTTTAGCTTCATTTTTAAAGTAAGCTTGAACTTGATGACTTAGGTTTGCCTTGAGTTTTTTTTTTCCCTTAAAAATAATATACTATGCATTAACATTAAAATCTGCGTGTTTAAAAGAAACTTATCTCCCTGAAAGAGATTGCTGGGGAATTAAACTTGCTCAAGTGTTTTTTTCCTTCAAATTTTTAACTTTTTATCTTACACTGTAATTGGCTATGAACATAAAAGTAATTTATTCTTCAGGTGTGGATATTCATGGATATGCTCCCTCTTCATTGGGAATGTTTTGCTGGCAGTGAGGAAACATTCAGTTGAATAAGTTTAAAATCCTTTATACAGAGAAATTGACGAGTTTGCAAATATTGTAACAATATTAAATGTGCAATAGAACTTTTACAAAAGAATTAGAGATCTTAGTCTTCAGGTTTCCAGTTGTGGCCAGTGGTAGTATTGATCTGGGGGCACTTCCTTGATTGTTCACATTTCTCTGATGTACTGCACGTGATGCCAGTAGGAAAGCAGTTAATGTTTTCTGGTTCAAGATTGGGACAGATGTTGGCATTTTATTATCACTTCTCAGTTCTCAGGTTGGGACTTCAATTATTGCTGCAGAGCAGTAATGGTTAAAATAAGGTTTTGGAGTTTATTAGAAGATTTTTTTGCTCAAATGCATTTTAGATTAGGACTGACATGTAAAGAGATTGTTATGGGATAATACATTGCATTTTCTGCATTGTATGAAATAATTTTTATTGATAATCAAGTGACATTTCAAAAGAAGTTCTATAACAGTTATGTTTACTGTTTAAAGGAAAAATTCCCAGAGTTTAGTTTAGAAAATGTAGTCTTAAATTTCAGACTGAGAGTCCCCATATTTTCATAACCCTATGTTTTGATAAAGTACTGAATCATCACTTTATATCCACAAAGCCACTGATGTATGAGAGTAGAATAGTTTGCACTAATTATTGTAAATACCTCTGCTCTTCAAGTGAGTCAAAGGTCTCATTCCATGAAAGACTCAAAGTAAAGTGAATGTTTGGTGTGATATAGGAGAAGTTGACCAAGGAAGGATTTTAGCCTGGTGCCAAGGTTAAAATGCCATTTCTCTACTGCCTGTCTTCTCTGTCAAAACTTGATTTCTTTTTCTTTAATCAGATTTTTAATATTGCTGATAAAAATTACGTTTATGTGTTTAACTTGTACAAGCTCAATATGTTGAATAAAATATTTTACATAGCCATATATTTACAAATTTTCAACGGGTTAGTTGCTTAGACTAATTTCACTAAAGAAAATCCTTTTGTTCATTGATACAGTTTTCTTAGTTCTAAATTAGGAATGGCATCTGTTCTAGTTCTCAAAATATAGCTCAGTTGTCTCACACTTCATATGTACGTTGTTTTCAGTAGGAATGGAAGAATTATATATAGGATTCTGATATTCTTTTTATCCGTGTGCCAAATGGGAGTAGTAGTTATTTAATACTCTTAAAAGCCTTACGTTTGGAACACATAGACTAAAGGGAATGCTTTCACAACAGTGTATCATTCCTTTTCTTGGAGTTGAAATTTCTTCTGTGGTCAGTAGTTGATATGTCAGGGCCAGTCATGCTTTTAAGATCTTTGAGATTGGCAAGCTTACTGTTTCATGGAATCTTGTTAATATTACACTTAGATAAAATCTGTGGCCCTACGAAGGTGGTGGTCAGCTCGAACTTCGCATCAGCCAAGTACTGTCCTTTAAGTGCAGGCTAGAGTTCAGGGTACTGGCAGATTTAGTGATGTTCCTTTTAAGTCATATAGTCATAGGAATTTCCTTAAAGACATACCCATGCCCCTAGGTCAGATCAAAACGAATTCCAGTGCCAAGTACAAATTGGCTAGTTGACACAACCTTAGAGGATGCACCTTCGATTCCATTACTGTTGACCTATTTTATGACTGCACCTTTGTAAGCATCAACCTTAAAAGCTCTGTTTATGAAGACAGTGCCTGTGAGTTTCTGCCTAATGGTAAGGCTCATCTTGTTCTGCTGCCCTCCTTCGAAATCCCTTCAAGGTCTGTGATACTTTAATGGTGATTGGATTAGATGGGGGCCACCTTTTCCTGACTGAAACTTAATAGTTTTTAGAAATTAACACAACTACTTTAAAAGGAAAGAAATTAAGCTTGCCTAGTTCTGCTGCACATTCTACACCTACAGGAACAATACTTTAACTAAGGTAATGAAGTCAGTAGACAGGAAACCAGTTACTGCTTCTCCCTTGTAGCGTTCTGAACACTTGGCAACAGGAAGCTGAAACTTGACCGTGAACAAAAGCTAGTCTAGCTTTTGCCGCATCTGCACTGATGGTTTGATTTTGGAAAGACTTCTTAGGCTCCATAATCTGGAGGTGGTAGTGTTGTTTCCATTATGTTTGGGAAAAGGACGGTAGGATGTGTGTGGCATCTGAGGTGACACATCTTAGTGGTAAGGTATCTGGCTTAATTGAGTTTCACATAAGAACCACTTAAAATCATCTTATAAATGCTGGTAGTAATGAACAGCTAATATACTGTAAAACTTTGTACTACCTGAGTAAAATGAAAATACTGGTTTTGATAACAGCCTCCTAGCATTCTTAAATATTTAAATTCACCAGTTGTAACAAGCAAATCCTTCATTTTATTTTTACCAAGTTTTACTCTTAGCTTTTTTTTTCATTAATACATCAAGATTTGAAACTGGAACCATATTATACTTTGTAACCAATCTCTCATGGCTGCACTCATATGTAATTTACTTCAGTTAATATGAGCACTGAGGATTAAGTTAAAACTAATGTGCAAAATTGCTTTGTATATTTGGTGATTTTGTAATGTAAGTGAATTAGTTAATTCTTATTTCACTGATACTATTAATCTTGCAGTGTACAATTACAAATCATGCATTTCCCTTTAAAATTGGATTTGAAGAACTCAACTTCATGTGATTGTGGAGAACTTATTTTTTCATTTTGTCAAAATAGGTATTTGCTGATAACAAGCCTTCAGGAAATACGTTGTTAGATTTTTTAATGTATAATAAAGTCCATGATTTTTGTACAGTCTTTTTTGTATGAAATAGTTGATATGTACTCTTCAAGTAATTTTAATGTCTTGTAAAATGTTTGGACTTTTTCATTTAGCATGACACTCTAGTTACATCTCTCGCACCACTGCAGTTCTAACAGCTAAAACATCGTCACATTGGGAAGGGTTTGTTGTAGAAGCAAACCAGCTCATCACTGGTGACTGTTTCCTGGTAGCACAGAGACTTCAATAATGAGCTGAGATGTGTTAGACAATTTGTACTCATTACTACTGGGGCCTATTCTAAGAAATTCCTCTGAATTAAAGGGGCTGTATACCAGCTTAAGTTTTACCAGGTGTGCATATTAATCCATGTGCTGTTTGTAGTTGTTTTTTTTTTTTTTAAATAACACCAAGTGCTTTTCTTCTACTAGGAGTTAGTGTTAGAATTTGTCTTGAATTTTATACACACACTTTTAGAAAATCCAGAATTATCTAATAATTTATCTGAGGGCATGCGTATCTTCTCTATTTTTATATACTGATAAACATAGTTTCCCACTCACTTTTAAGCACATACCACACAGTTTGATTTAGAAAAATCATCACCAGGTGAGGTCTGTTCCCCAGTGTGTGCAGCAGCCAGGGCTGGCAGGCCAAAGCCAGGAAGCTATGTGGGTGATTGAGACCCAGCTACTTTTTTGTCAGGATCACATAAGCAAGAAGCTGGATTGGGAACAGCGTGTCTAAGACTCGAACCAGCACTCTGAGGGATGTGGTGGCTTCAAACCACTGTGCTAGATGCACACCCCTGAAGTAGTCTATTTAGTCAAAAATCTCCACCTCAGGAATCATAGCTTCAGTTTCATTAAGGTGGATTGTATTATGCTGAAAAAAATACTAAGCTTTGATATTTGCATATTTAGTCAATCACTGACGAGATGGGCCTTTCCGTTAGTGCTATTAATGTGCCAGCTATGTATGACACAGATGTGGCTGAATGAATGTCAATTTTCTTCACTTTCCACATGGAGAAACCTGCACTTGCATGCAACATAGAATACAGGAAGATTTAATTTAGTACCGGATGCTCACTTGCATTTTCGTATGGGATGATGTTTTAAACCATCATCTTAGAACTGCTGCTCTGTGAACCCTGCCCTTTCAGGTACCAGGCTAGGTTCATTGCAGAAGCCATAAGTTACCAGATGTTTGAAAACACTTTCAGTTCCCATCCCAGCAGCCATAACGAGGGCATTGTGGGGAGAAGGGACACTGTGGGAATTTCACTGGAAGGTTCTGTGTCAATTAACTGAATTACCCCATCTTTGTACTAGACTCTGCAAGGAAATACTATCAGACTATATTGGTTTTAGGACTTTTGCACAAGAACAGCTGGCTTCTACGTCACAGACTGGGGTAAGCCTACCTCCAGTCCAGTCTCTAAGATGCAGATGATGTTCTCCATAAAAAATTGAATTGTCAGAGATGGCATCTAATTTGAGCACACAGAAATTGAGTTTGTATGCTTAAGATCAATATGGAATTGGACCAGGTGTATTTAATTGAAATTTGTATTTGAGTTTGGGTGATTTTAAATTATGCCTTACAATGCTAGCCATTTGTAGGTTGAAAGGCTATGTTCAGAGCAACATTTTACAGGGTATAAACTACATTTGATTCATACTTTAAGAAATACAGCTGCATACTTTTACCTTTTCCTCTGGAGCAGCTTGATTACCAAGTTCCTGTAAAAATTCCTTGTCCATAAAGGTCATATTCTTTGTAAAGGACGTACGCTTTTAGACGATTGGGTAGTGGAAGAAATGACATGAAGACGGGGCATCGCAAATGTAGACGTCCCATGCACTTCCGGATCTTTAGGCGGCACAAATGTTTTAGTGGGCGAGGGTTTGCTAAAAATAAAAGAAATAGGCACATTAACTAAAAGGAAAAAGAGTAGGTTTTAGTGACCCTAGGGTTTAGCTAGTAAATATTATCAAATGATTTGATACATTTAATACTTAAGCTACCAAGCTTTTTATTTGCTATACTTGAACATCACCACCGATGGAGAAATGAAATATTTGATCCAGTGTGCTACTTTGGAAGCATTTTGTTTGGGGAAGGGTCATTTGATACCCTCTATAAATTTAGATCATAGCTTTTTCTCATCACATGGTCACAGTTTAGCTGGATTGGGAAAAAAGTGTTACCTGCTTATATAATAAGCGGTTATCTAACATTATCTATTGGGAAATGGCTGTTATATAAATTTAGTTGTAAATAATAGTAACACTTAAAAGATAGAATAGCATTTTTCTGACTTCTTTAGGTCAAGCTTTTAACCAGAAGAGACAAGTGTTCTAAAAATCAAAGTGAGAGTTACAGTTGGTATTTCAGTAAGAGTTTTCTACAGGAAAGATACTCACTCAAGATAAAATGGATCTCTGACCAGATCCCCTGTTTCTGGAGCACAGCTTTTAACTTTGAACAGATCTGAACTTGATCAACATAATCAAGCATCACTCGAACAACCTTCCCAGAGAGATGCTGCAGCCATGACAACGTCATTACTTCACAGAACTGAGGGGAGAATCACAACACCGTCAAAGTCAGTGGAAGGCGCCAGGGATGTGTGGTTAGCGTAGTGGTCCAAAGTCTCACGTTCCTCAGTCACAGACTAAGGCGCTGCACAAGAAGCTCTGTTCTAATACCTGTGCCTTCAGAACTCTACACATAAAAGATGCATTTACTGTATGACAGTGACTTCCATAATCTCTGTTAACCTCTTCAGTCAGCTGGCTTCTAGAATAAAGATCTCCTTTCTAGCTTCACTCGCACCTACGTGTGGCCACCTGACTACCTTGTAGCCAGAGAGATTTTTTCAGTGGAAGTGGGAGCAGCTCTCAGCAGGGCATGGTTTGTGCTCCTTCCTCAAATGTGGATGTGAGTTTATTCTGGGACTCGTGAAGCCATGCGACAGGACTGACACTTCTGGGATATGAGAAGGCAATGAGCCATCTTGTTAAAGTTATTCTTATCTCAGGGTTTTCTGCCATTTATAACCTAATCCTACCCTGCCGTGTGAGGGGTACGACAGTTTCTGCACATAAGTGCTTTTAGGTAAGATGCCCAAGAGAGAAGTTAGTACCCTACGAACAATCAAGAAATAATCCAACATGTATTTCTAAATGCCAAGTTAATGATGTAGAAACAAAGCCCTATATCAATCATCTGAAGATAATACATCATATTAAATAGTTTGCCTGTCTTAAAAACTGATTCATAGTGTTCTTTCAGCATTTCATTTAAAAAAAACTTTTTTTTTTTTTAAATGAGAGAAATAGGAGAGCACTCCCATCCAGGTTCTCTACCTACATGCCTATAGTTGCTGGAGACTGGGATTGGGCCAGAACAGGGAGGAGGCTGGAGCTAGGGGCAGAGCCAGGAGCTGGGAATGCAATCCAGGTCTCCAGCCTGGGTGGAAGGACCCAGTGAGCCATCGTGTGCTGCCTTCGAGGGTCTGCCTAAGTAGCAAGCTGGAGCTAGGTATTGAGTACAGGTACTCTTGAGGTGGGATGTGGGCATCTTAACCACTAGGCTACCCACTTGCCTGCTCATTTCTGTTTTCAAATCTTGATGCTGTTAATTCAAGTACTTAAAGAGTATCCATTGTATGCTAAGCAGATCTGTAAACAGGAAAGGAGTGAGCAAATGTTTATATTCAGTGTATCGATACAATATTAAAATGGTCCTCTTAGTGATAAGCACTGTGAAAGAAATGTGCAGCATGTGAGAATGATGGGGGAGTGGAGCTACCTAGAACATGGGAGACAGGGCAGGGCCTCTCCTGGGAGCTGGTGCCTGAAATGAGGCCTGAAGAGCAGGAGCCATTTGAAATCAGGAGAGAACTCAAGTCGGGCACGCAGCAGTCACCCCTCAGGGTGGGGAGAACCAGGAGTGTGGCGTGAGGACAGCAAGTGAGATGTCCAGTCCACTAAGTTCATTTCTTGACCACCTTTTCATCAGGTTACCAAAGAAAACCATTTAATAACACGGGAACCATGAAAGAGCCACACATGTAAGGGTGGAGATATCAGAAGCATTTTGGCCAGATAGCTCAAAGAAAAAGGCCAGTTTGAGCATGACACTTGACTAGGGTTGTGCTGCTTTCATAAAACTCCCCAGCAAGGCTCGGCAGACTCGCAGCACTGCTTCCTCAACCTCCTGTACCTTTTACCTCTGCACTATTGTCTTCATCATGGAGTCATTTTACCACATGTTTGTCACACTAGAATCTTTCCAGCCATGAGCTTCCATTGCTGGGGGTCCAGAGCTACAGATCGCGACCGCGAGGTAAGGCAGCTGACGGGGACTTACCATGGTGTCTTTGATAACTGTAGAGGTCCAGCCTTCAAAACTATATAAAGGGTGAACTTTGTCCCCGTGAGGACAGTCGAAGCACAGCTCAATATCGTACCCGTAATTTAACAGCATCCTGAGCATGACTTCGTCTTTGAGCGTGTACTGCAGTGCTGACGGGAAATGCAGGGGGTTGACCCTGCAGAAGTAATTCACGTTGGCCCCGTGCCTCAGCAGCAGGCTTATCAGCTCGTAGTTGCCCATTCTGAGGGCTATCTGCAGGCAGTTCACTGGGTCTTGATTAGGCAGAGCTCCCGCACTCAGAAGCAGCTTCACTGAAGAGAGGTCGCCGTTTGACACCGCGAAATACAAAGCCGACTTTCTTTGGTCATCGTAGTGTTTGCGAATTCTCTGATCTAGCATGAAATTCACGTCGAATCCAGCTTGGATGAGAAGTTCCAGGCACTGAGGGTGTGCCCCTGCTGCAGCGCAGTGAACTGGACTGATCCCGCTCTGCTTAATGGCAGCAAGATTTGTAACTGGAACCAACATCTTTAGAGCTCTGAGAAAGAATTTCAAAGTGCATTTCAAAATCATATTTGCCAAGCTGCAGCCTTGACCAGCCTATGATTATTTTATATTGACACTGATGGTTTTACTATCAAGTGGTATTTAGATTTCTCCAACAAAAAAAGCATAGCTTCTTTATCCAAAAGCTCAGATACCAGGTGCTGCTGACTTACTCTCTAGGTTGTAAGACTCTGAATTAGCCTGTCATTTCAGACCTCATGAAAAAATAGCTCTTGGTCCTTTCAGTGGCTACAGATAGGACTTGGCTTCACTCTCCAGCTGGTCAAGAATTTCGTACCCTTAGAGAGATAAAGAACATAAAGTGTGTGGTGTGTGGAGTCTGGCATGGTGAGTAAGACACCACTTGGTAACCCATGCATCCTATTTCAGGGTGCTTGGGTTCAAGTCCTGGCTCTGCTTCTAAGTCCAGCTTCCTGCTAAATGCGTGTCCTGGGAATGAGAGGGCTTCACCATTCAGGTCCCTGGCACCCCTGTGGGAGCCTCAGATTGACTTCATGGCTCCTGGCTTCAACCCCCTGGGTTCCCACACCCATGGGGGAGCCTCAGATTGAGTCCCTGGCTCCTGGCTTCAACTTGACCGAGCCCCTGCTATTAGACTGGGGGAGTGAACCAGGGCCTGGAAGATCTCTGTCTCTTTCATACAAAACATGAGAACTATGGCTCTTGTATCTGTTATTTACAGTAATGGAATTGAACTTACAATAGGTGGCCCCTGTCGGCAGCCACATGGATGGGCAGGTGACCCGAGTTCTTGGGGATGTTGGCATCAGCTCCATACTCGAGCAAGAGAGTCACAGAGTCTGGGTTTCCTCCTCTAGCAGCTTCCAGCAGGATGGAAGAAGAATCAGACGCCTGACCATGAGCGTTAGCTCCTAGGAAGAGGGAGTCTTTTTAGCAAAAATTATTTTCCACTGTCTTGCTTAGGCAACCTTAAAAATACATCGCCACGGCCACAATGCAGTAACTGAGCACCTACTCTACAAAGCGCTAAGAATCCAAGAAAGTGTGTACCTCGTGCTCTAAGCAATTTACAAACCAGCTGATAAAGCAAGAAAATACTTCAAGTAGTTTCCAACATGAGTAAATTGGCTTTCAGTAATATTATTTGTTTCAAACGTGACAATTCCAATAGAAAGACTTTCATAAAAGGTAGTTTAACTTTTTGGGCCAGCCTACAAAAGCCCCCTTAACTCATCACATAGGACTAAAATCCTGAGCTGTATCTCCATGCCAGCTGATGATGGTGTTTTGGTGGAAAAGTGCCTTTGTTCAGTTTTCACCCGTTCTCAGGGACTTCACAGTCAGACATACTGCAGTTGTTTTTAATTGAAGCTGCAAGTGGCTGACAGCTAAAAGGTGAACTGTAGAGCCCTGTATGCTAAGTGTCACAGGAGTGGTGTGCGTAAGAAGACAGACTGTTGCCTAGGGGGGCTCTGGCTGAGGTGTGAAGGGAGCTGGGAGGTGGAAGAAGGGGACAGGATGCTGGGTCAGTTGCTGAAGACTGCTCAGTACATGGACAAAGTTGATGAGAGCATTCTGGGTATATTCACAGATGTGATGACTTTAAACAGACTCCCTAAGTCTTCAGGGTGCAGTGGCTGCCCGAGAACCCCATTCCTAGAATGCATTAAGTCTAAGGAGCCTCCATTTCCCGAGCACTGATCATGTGCTTCCAGGTGCAGAACTTCCCAGTGTTACAACAATCCCCGAAGTTCTAGGGCCCTTACTTTAAAAACGAAGAACTCAGGCTCTTCTCCAAACACACACACCAGTAAGCCGAGCACAGGTCTCCTGGACCCAGAATCGTTTCTGTGATGCCACATTGCCACTCCGGCCTCGCTAGGCAATGGCATCTGCCATCAGACAGATGTGGCTTCAATGGCTGGCTCTCCCGGTTACTATCTGTGTCCCTTTGTGCACACTGCTTTGTCAAGGGGCCGTGTGGGGAAATGCTCGTTTACCGGCCTCACTGCGGTGAACCAATACTTGTCTCTTTCAAGGATACAGGAGTTGTTATCTGTTGCTTCTTGTGAGTTTCTGTATTTTAATCAATAATCTATACAAAAGGGTCCTCCCTCCTCAAAGGTGAAAGGTCCAGTGTTGACTTTGTTTTTCGAGCAAATGACTGAAGACATTTCTTAGGCCATTCCTTGTAAACATCCTACTTTAAGTGTCTGGTGGCCAAACACCGGAAACCAGCTTCCCACACGGGATAGCAAAGATTTAGGAAAAATCAAAATCTCAAGGTTGTTGTGGAATGCAGGAGTCCTCGCCATCTAGAATAGGAGAGACCAGGACTGTCTTACAAAGGAGTGGAGAGAGTGAATGTGCAGGAGAGAGGGAGCGAGGGAGCGAGCTTCTGGAATAGGGAGGAGAAAGAAGGCAATTTTGCTATGAGGACATTGTTCAGTCTGGTTACAAGTTCACGTCTTTCAAAAAAGCTTCAGATACTGCATTGCTTCATCCAACCGTGTCATCAGTGGAGCACCCCTCAGAGACAGTAAGTGCCAAAGTTCTCTGAGCAAAGATTCCCTGCGAGTTAAACCAGGATCTAAAGTGGCTTCAGGGCTGGAGGCTGTGTTGGGAGGGAAGTCCCGCCTCCAGCTCGGTATCTGACCTTTCCTTCCCTCCAATGCACAATGAGGATACACCCGCCTCCCAGGTCTTAAGAGACGGGTAGTTTCATCCCTGTCACTCAGAACCTTCTCAGTAAGCACTGGTTGGCTTCCCCTTCTCTTGGAGTTTTGGTTATTGAGTGAAGAATTGGAACCCAAAGACAAGAAATTAGGAAGAATTTCCCAGAATCTAAAGGCATTTGATGACATGAAACTGCCTTACAACTTAGCTTATGCAGGGAGAACATGTGGGGAGTTTGCAAGGTCTTTGATTTCATGATTCTAGTAAAGGCTAACACCATGAAAAAGTAAAAAAATAGAACCCTTCCTCTTAGCACGGTGAGAGGACAGGAGGAGCCTGTGTCCCTGTACTCTTAGGGAAACGACGACACACCAGAAAGGAAAATCTCCATTTTAGGCTTTGCAGGAGCCAACAGCAGCACATACTCCTCCCAGACATTCCCTTCAGGCTTACAGAAGTGAGCTTCTGCTATTTTGAAGCTCTCCATCACGAGGAGAGCCCGTGGTACGTTAGCCCGGGAGCGTGCGCACTGGCACGGAAGCCTTGCCTTTCTGCAGTAGCATCTCCATGACTTCAGTGTGGCCACCTTGGGCAGCCAGAGCGAGAGGGGTGAATCCGTAGGAGCTCCGCGCATCGGGGTGCGCCCCGGAAGCCAGCAGCAGCTTCACCATGTCCCGTCGGCCCAGTTTGGCTGCCTCGTGCAGAGCTGTCCTCTCGTTGGCACAGCGCAGGTTGACGTTGGCTCTGTGGCTGATGAGCAGGGCGACCACGTCGTAGGAGTCACGCAGAACAGCTGGGAAATTAGAAGCAAGGTGGACGTGTTAATATTCAAATAGAAAGAAAGAGTATCAAGTTGGCTGGTGCCCCCAGACATGTGTTTGCTTGTTTTAAATTAGGGTATTTGAAAGCAGAAATACAGAGATCTTCCATCTGCCGGTTCACTCTCCCAATGCCTCCAACAGCCAGGAGCCCAGATCTCCATCAGGTGTCCTACTCGGGTGGCAGAGACCCCGGTACTGGAGCCATCACTGCTGCCTCCCGGAGTGCACGTGAGCAGGAAGCTGGAATTGGAGGCAGAGCTTGGACTTCAACCCGGGCACTCCGATGAGGGGTTCTGGCGTTCCAATTGCTATCTTGACCTACAGGTCTAATTCCTACCCTTCCTTCAGGCCTCTCAGGAGCTGTTCTACCTACCCCCGTACTCCATTATTATTATTATTAGGGAGAGAGATGAATCTTTCATATGCTATTTGTTCCCCCAAATGCCTACAACAGTGAGAAATGAGGAGCCTGGAACTCCATCCGGGTCTCCCATATAGGTGGTGGGGACTTAAGTACTTCAGCCATCACCTGTGGCCTCCCGGGGCACATACACGTCAGTAGGCAGCTGGACTGGAAGCAGAGCTCAAGCAGGCACTGTACCATGGGGTGTGGGGGTCCCAGGCAGCAGTTTTGGCGCTATACCACCATGCCTGCCCCATGCTCCAGCACTGTGTTTAGGAGACAGATTGTAAAACAAGGCACGCAGCACATAATAGTAATAGTACTTTACATCAATGGACTATTTGTTTGTAAGTCATGACAAATCATTGTCTACCTGTCTGCCTACAAGGTTGAAATACATGAACACATGCTCACCTGTCATCTTAATTCTCTTGAAAAATGGTACCTTAAGTCCTCAGGACAGTCCTGGCAATGCTGCCACCAGTCTCTCTCTCTCTCTCTCTGTCTCTCTCTCTCTCCCTCCCCTGTCTCTCTCTGTCTCTGTCTCTCTCTCTCCTCAAAAGATTTATTTGAAAGGTAGAGATACAGAAGCCAGGAGCTTCTTCTGGGTCTTCCCCAAGGATGTAGGGGCCCAAGTACTCAGGCCATCTTCTGCTACTTTTCCATGCATATTAGCAGGGAGCTGGATTGAAAGTGGAGCAGCTGGGACTAGAACCAGTGCCCATGAGATGCAGACTTAAACTTCTATGCCACAGTACCAGCTCCACGGATGGTTACAAAGAAAAGCCAAGATAGCAACAGCACCTACCTCAGCTAATCAATGACTAATGTGTAAGTTTGATCTGCGTGTTTGGGGGAGTGGTTGAGCCCAGAGAAAATAGGGTTTTGGCTTGTGTTTCTCCAAACGTACTCACAGAAAGCCCCTGGAGGGTCTCTGAAGACAATGATCTAACGATCATGTAGTTAGAAAAATAGAGACTCGCACTGTGGCATAGTGGCTGAGGTTGCTGCCTGCCACGCCAGCACCCCTTATGGGCACTCCTGCTTCTGATCCTGCTCCCTGCTAACGCACCTGAGAAAGCAGTGGAGGACAGCCCAAGTGTCTGGGCTCCTGCCACCCACGTGGAAGACCGAGGTGAAGCTCCTGGTTTCGGCTGGCCCAGCCCCGGCCATTGAGGCCATCTGTGGAGTGAACGAGCAGATGGCCCATATGTCTGTCTCTCCCTCTCTCTTTGTAACACTTTCAAGCATACAGATAAATCTTTTAAATAAATAAATAAAGGCCCCTTTAAGATTGACTTTGCACATTGGTGCACTGAGGACTCTGAGAATTCTTTTTTTTTTTTTTTAAAGATTTATTCATTGATTTGAAAGGCAGAGTTAGAAAGAGGCAGAGGCAAAGCTAGAGCGAGTATTCCATCCGCTGGTTCACTCCGCAAATGGCTGCAATGGCTAGAGCTGTGTCGATCTGAAACTAAGAGCCAGGAGTTTCTTTTGGGTCTCCCATTTGGGTGCAGGGGCCCAAGGACTTGGGCCATCTTCTACTGCTTTCCCAGGCCCTAGCAGAGAGCTGGATCGGAAGTGGAGCAGCTAGAACTTGAACCTGTGCCCATATGGGATGCTAGCACTCCAAGCAGCAGCTTTACCTGCTGTGACACAGCACCAGCCCCAGATTCCTGTTTTCCTGTTTTTTTCACACGTGGCTTTTACTCCCACACCAGGTAACTACCCCGATTCCCTATCTTACACACAAGGACACCGATTCAGAGAAGTCAGACCTGAACCAGATTTCTTCTCACTCTCGGGGGTTTGGTAGCTTGCGAGCTGTTCTGTAGTAGGCTCCTCTGCCTGTGTTTTCTCTTCAATTGAAAGCCCAAGGGAGCATCTTGGAAGATGCTGGGCAGGGCCCACATCTGCACCCTCGCCTGCTCCGCGGCTGTGCTCTTTGCTCTTTCTTGTCTTCCTTGATCACTCACACCCGTGCAAGGTTTGAACAGAGTGGATTACTCCGGCCTCCTCCCCTGCCCTGTGTTCCTTCTCCTTCTTTGGCATTAACAACCTGCTTGCACTGCTACTTGGTTGTATTTTCCGGTGTGGGTCTAACCTAATGCCGCCTCACTATGGAAAGTGAGGCTCTAACTTGTTTTCTCCTCCTCCACTCACACAGCTGTACCTGGCTCATCCACCAACCGTCTAAGACATTCAGAGCAGAATTTTTCTCTATTGTTTACCTTGTGATGATCATGCCTGCTGTTCAAAGCTGGACCACAATCAGGCTGCTTTTCCTATTCCCCTTTTTGTTTTCCCGGTTAACTTGACATTTCAATAGCTTAGTTTTCAATTCGCTTATCATGAATTCAATCCCAAACTCTAAACCATCTTAAGTGCGCTTTCAAGGCATTCGTTCCTGTCCCACCGTGGTCTTGAAGCCGTCTCTGCACGGGGCTCTTGACTGTTCCAGCCAGGTCCTGGGGCTCTGTAACGTGTCGCGTGCCACGGGCACCGGCCACCGTCACCCTGGCTGGGGGGGATCTCAGCTGCCTACCTCTTCAGTGGGATCCTGCTTCCTGGACACCAAGCTCTTTTTTTTTTTTTTTTTTTTTTAATACATCTGTCATCCATCATCTTGTTTGAGTTTGGCTAAATGTGGAATTTCAGTTGGAAACAGTTTTCCTTCAGAATTTGTAAGCCTGTCCTGCACCAGTTTCACAAGCTCCTAGTCGCCTGTGAGAAGGCTGACACCACTCTGATCTCTCATCTTTTGTATCTGTCACATTTCTTTTTCCCCTCTTTCTCAGCTATCTTGTGGAAGCTTCTCTTCGCCCCAGGTGACTGGGTAGCTATTTTTAAAACGCTTTTTCTTTTCTTTTTTTTTTTTTTAAAAAATGACAACAGGAACTTCTGTTCAATACAGTTAGACTATATAGGTAGAAAAGATAAGAGAGCCATAATTTCACCTCTTTGAGATGTTTGCTAACCTTAGCTATCTGCATTTATTTCTAAATAATAATTGAGATTTTAAAATAAATGCAGTTTCTTAGAAGTTATTCTGAATCACTTTATTAACCAAAATTCTCTGATAACTAGCTTTTCTGCATTTATGCTATTAATTCCCAACTGGATGATTACCCTTAGTCCTTCAAGATCTTAAAACACCTAATTTTATCCAAGCTCTCCAGTTACTGATTATTGCGACGAGGGATGTGTGGGGAATCATTCTAGATGCCAGTGCGCATTCGAAATGCTAAGAACCTCTTGTGCATAATGTGCTGTAGGAAGTACTGCAACCTAGGGCCAGCACTGTGGCATAGTGGGTAAAGCTGCCACCTGCCGGTTCAAGTCCAGGCTGTACCACTTCCGATCCAGCTCTCTGCTATGGCCTGGGAAAGCAGTAGAGGATGGTCCAAGTCCTTGGGCCCCTGCACTCACATGGGAGACCTGGAGGAGGCTCCTGGCTCCTGGCTTCAGATCAGCGCAGCTCCAGCCATTGTGGCCAACTGGGGAGTGAATCAGCGGATGAAGACCTCTCTCTCTTTCTGCCTCTCCTTCTTTCTCTGTGTAACTTTGACTTTCAAATAAATAAATAAATAAATAATCTTAAAAAAAAAAAAAGAAAGAACTGCCACCCCTCTAAGACGGCAAACAAAAGTGTCCCAGATGTTGGATCTTGAATTCACTGAGCGCGCTCAGCTTGTCCTTTCTTACACACACCTTTGTCTTGACTTAGTTCATCCCTGCGAGGCTGTCTCCATCTTGTCTGTTATCTTTTCATCACTCCTGCTATTCGCATCTTGCTCACCTTGGATCATCCTTCTAATTTTTTTTAAATATTTTAAATTATTTATTTGAGAGGCAGAATTGCAGAGAGAGAGAGAGAGAGAGAGAGAGAAAGTCTTTGATCTGCTGGTTCACTCCCCAAATGGCTGCACCGGCTGGAGCTGAGCCAATCCAAAGCCAGGAGCCAGGAGCTTCTTCCGGGTCTCCTACATGGGTACAGGGGCCCAAGGACTTGGGCTGTCTTCTGCATTCCCAGGCCATAGCAGGGAGCTGGATTGGAAGAGGAGCAGCTGGGACTTGAACTGGTGCCCATATGGGATGCTGGTGCCACAAGCTGAAATTTAGCCCATTATGCCATAGCGCAGACCCCGATTTTCCATTTCCTATCTTTTTCTTCTGGAAGTTTTTCTTTTCTTTCTTTCTTTTTTTTTTTTTTTTTTTGACAGGCAGAGTGGACAGTGAGAGAGAGAGACAGAGAGAAAGGTCTTCCTTTTCCATTGGTTCACCCTCCAATGGCCGCCGCGGCCGGCGCACCGCACTGATCCGATGGCAGGAGCCAGGATCCAGGTGCTTTTCCTGGTCTCCCATGGGGTGCAGGGCCCAAGCACTTGGGCCATCCTCCACTGCACTCCCTGGCCACAGCAGAGAGCTGGCCTGGAAGAGGGGCAACCAGGACAGAATCCGGCGCCCCGACCGGGACTAGAACCCGGTGTGCCGGCGCCGCTAGGCGGAGGATTAGCCTAGTGAGCCGAGGCGCCGGCCCTGGAAGTTTTTCTAAATACCATCTTCTAGCACTGTTTTGATATTTTTATCTTGCCTATTTATAATTTGTATGAATTTCTTTTTTATTTGATATTTCTTATAGCATCCTATTATTTCATTAATCTCTCTGAGAAGTTAATGATTTCCCCTTATAGTTTATTTTCCCTAAATTCTCTCCTCTAGAATAATCTCTATCTTGTCTGTGGGGGACTTTGCTTAGCTAATCCTTGGCTACGTGCTCAAGAGTTGAGGATCTGAGCAGGCTGGAAATTCTGCCTGTGGGCGGGGCTTGCGGGTGGTGGGTGTCACCGTGGAGCGTGTGTTTGGGCCACGTTTTGGGGAGCTCCCAGGGCCACAGTCTTCAGCCTCTTGCTGACCGCCAGCTTTTTGGAATCCTGGTGGTGGTGGTGGTGGAGGTGGAGGTGGAGGTCAGCGGATGGTTGCTGAATTCCGCAGGTGTTCTCAATCTGCCACTCTCGCACTCACCTGCAATTCTCTGCTCCAGAGGCCCTCTCTTGAAGCAGCCCTGAGCGTAAACCTGCTGGGCGCTGCGGGGGTATCCGGAGGCTGCCTGCGCCCCACAGTTTTCAGCTAGCGCCCCCTGGCGGCTGCCCGCCCCGCCCCTCCCCTCCCAGGTCGGGTCTACACTAGCGACCAACAAGCCGGTCCTCGGCACAGGCCGGCCCTGGGAAAGCTCCTGGCAGGTCGGGAGCTGCAAGCGGGCACGAGGAGCTGCCCGAAACCCGCGGGCACGGAGGAAGCCCGCAGCCCCAGGCTCCTCTCCCGAGAAAGGGCGTTCGTTCACCTGTGAGCAGAGGAGAATTGCCTTCGAAGTTCTTAGCATCCGGGTCGCAGCCATTGATGAGAAGAAAGCCAGTGTTCTCGACGAGGCAGTGGCTGACGGCCAGGAACAGCGGTGTTTCCCCCTGCTCTGTGCGCCGCTCCCACACCCTGGCTTCTGAGGCTGAAATACGTTCATCATAGCGCACGGGTTAACAAACGCAAATAAGCTCCCGACTCATCTCTCAGAAGCGTCAGCCAGAGGTAAAGGCAGTTTACCCTTCAGGGTTATCTCCAGAATGTTCTTATTGAGTTGCGCCGCAGCCTTATGCAGGGGGGTCCACCCCATCCCATCTGCCTCATCGAAAGCCGAGTGGTGCTGGGCCAGCTGCGACAGTGCGTCTTCCTCACCTGTTAGCAGGCCAGAGGAGAGCAGGTTCACATCCGGCGCGCTGCTCCCGACCCCCGCCGGCCTGGCTGCTGACACGACTGCCTTTTACCAAAGCCACGTCCAGATGGCTTGGGAGGGCGGAGCCCGTCTCCTGGCCACACCACCTGGGCCCCTGCACGCCCCAGCAGCAGGTTCCCATGGGCAGCTGCAGCTCTTGGCCAGGTTGTGCCCACGTCGGCCCTGCCCAGTGCTCAGCCTCTAGGAGCAGCTGTTTCTGGGTTTTGCGAGCTGAGAGGGGAGCAAGGGGCTAGAACAGGAAGAGTACTTAACTGCCTCTATGCTGTCAACTATCTTCTTATACTCGGCGCTCACCGCGGAAGGAAAGCTGCGCAGAAGAGACACTTGTGTGAGGGAAGGGCTGAGGCATCCCACGGAAACCCAAAGCCAGTGGGGTGTGGAACCCAGAGTCAGCGCTCGTTAGCCAAGGATGGAGCCCTCCAGTGGGGTGACGACTGAGACCGGGACAGAAGCGCTGCTCTGGGTGATTCCTGGTGGTGCTCTGGGGCCTCATCCCACGGCCTTGGCTGGTCCTCGGGCACCCCCTTCCTGGCCTGCCTTCCTCAGGGCGAGGACTGTACCAGCCTGGAGAGAGCCCCCAGGTGTGCGCAACTGAAGCAAACCTGCCTAGGGCTGCAACTCTCACAGTCTCACTGTCACATGCTAAAGATTTATTAATTTACTTGACAGGCAGACAGAGAGAGAGGTCTTCCATCTGCTGGTTCACTCCCAAGATGGCCCCAATGGCTGGAGCTGGTCCGGGCAGAAGCCAGGAGCTTCTTCCGGGTCTCCCACGTGGGTGCAGGGGCCCAAGAACTTAGGCTATCCTCTGCTGCTTTCCCACGTGCATTAGCGAGCAGCTGGATCAGAAGTGGAGCAGCCGGGACTTTAACTAGACACCAGGCGCAGGCTTAATCTACTAAGCCACAGCACTGGCCCCAAGATATCAATGATTCAATCACAGAGTATTTTTTTAAAAACTCGAAGTCATCATGGTGTGGGTTTTTAAAAACCGAATTCACACTCAGAAAACACTATTAGCAGTTTAAGTGATACATTTTATAAAATAATTTGAAATTTTATGGTTCTGTTTAGGACTATTTTCTAGATAGTCTGTCATTTTCCCAAGAAGGTCTGTCATTTTCCCATTTTCTTTCATTTCTCAATGGACTCAGTTGAAGAGAATCAATTCCCCCAGATGATCTGTCCTCCTTAACGAGCTGTTCAGTTAAATGCTCTTAAACTGAGATCTGGGCTCCTAGACTGAGTACTCTTCTCTTTTGGGGGCACTGTGCGGGACCACCACACACCACTCAGTGCTGCAGAAGCAACGCCGACAGTGCTGCAGAAGCAACGCCGACTTCCGATCCTCCAGTTCTGTGACTCAGAAACCCAAAGAGGATCTCCTGGGCTGCAATCAGAAGGCAGCAGGGCCCTGTTCCTCCCGGAGGCCCCAGAGGACCACTTCTTCCCTTTTTCCAGCTTGTAGAGGCCCCCACGTTTCCGGGCTCGTGGGCCCCTTCCTGCAACCTCAGAGCCAGCAGCGTTGGCTCAGTCCTCCTCTCTCCGCCATTTCTGAGTTCTCTCTCCTGCCTCCCTTTCACTGGTGATTCCACTGGGCCCACCTGGATAACCTCGGCTACTTGTCCCATCTTGAAGGCAGGTGGTCAGCACCCTAGTGCCATCTGTGGCCTTCCTCTTTGCCATGTAAGGTTGTATATTCACAGGCTCCGTGAATTAAGACCTGGACGTCTGTCTCAAGTACATTCCAGTTTTCTAGTTCCTTCAAATCAGTAAGACTTACTAAGTGTCACACAACTCTTGCAAGTCAGCAAATGAAATTTACGACTAGACTCCATCTCAGTCTCTCTGAAGCATTTAGGTATGCTTTACTTGGTCAAGCTCATGCCTTTCAACCTAAAATTGAGTTCAGAGTTTTTTAGTTTTGCATGTTTAAATTTCAATCACAAGACTAATTAACAAAGAATCTGACAGACCCAATTTCTCTATAAAACTTTACAGGTTATTTTAGAGATCATTCCTATGTTAGACGCAGAAGTAGAGAAATGGGGTGTGGTTCAGCGCACTGCCAGCACTGGACCTCTCCCTGAAGACTCCGACGGCACCTGCCTCACAGACGGAGTGAGAACGTGAGGGAGTTCATGTTTACCAAGTGCGTTTTTCAGCAGTGTGGCACGCACCCAGTGATCACCCCATGAGTGTGTTATCTTTCAAAATCAGTGAGTTTTGATGGACTTTGTCATCTCCGTAATCATAAACTATCTTGAGGTTAAAAAACATTTCATCAGTCTTCCCTTCAGCAGGAAAGCAGAGGTCACCGCTGCAAGCAACCCGGGCTCATCACCCCCGAGAAAACGGTGGTCACCAGGGCGGGGGCTGGGGTCCCTGGTCAGCCAACAGCACGTTTCACCAGATGTGCGTGCCCGTGGAGTGCCGGAAGCCAGTTCCTTCCCCGCTGAGGGACCCCTAGTCCTTCTCCGCTCTTGTCAAGACAGGACTCTGAGTCCACACCTCAAGAGGGACTGCTGTCCTCTGGGTTTCCCTTTACTTATCTCCCCCTTGTGATCTGAGCGGACCAGCGCCTGCACGGAGGTCCAGGACGGCTCTCTGGGGGGTCTTGGCTGGATGTGCGCATGTCTCTGGCTCCCCAAAGCCACGGTGTGCTACAGGTCTTCCCTGGCCCCTGCTTCTCCTCTTTTCGCTCTTTCTTCTGATTTCCAGTCCCAGATTTGCTACGAGCCTCCTTCAACTATTTTCTTTACTGCTTCAATTCTCAGTTCTTTTCCAACTGTCCCTGACTGGGCAGGCATCCTGCCTTACAGATAGTGCACCACAGCTCCTTGTCTTCCGACCCCTCTCTTGTGTCTTTGTCCTAGTAGAATGATGCCACTGACAAGCCTCGCCTGTGCAATACCTAACAGGACCGTGCCCGGGAGGGACCCATTACCTCTCATCCTCAGCTGCGCGCTGTGCGGCTCCCGGCTTGTGGGCGTCCTGCAGACTCCGCTGGATGGTGAGCTGGGTGTCCAGGTCCTCCTCCGCATCCCCGTCGTTGGGGTAATAGTCCATGCCAACCGTGGACAGGCCGACTTGGAAGGCACAAAGGACTCAAGGTATTTTTCTGATTGTGAAAAGAGTGTCTTAAATTATAACAAAGTCAGACAGCCTGAAAGTTGATGGGATTGCCAAATGAAGAAAATGCACATTTATTAAGCAATATATTCATTTAACTTTTTTCCATTAACTTAAACCCGGTTTTGGACTGCTACAGATCCCACACAAATTAGAAGCTTCCATGAGTAGCCATTTATTTCAAGCTTATTCAGAAAACACAGCCTTTCATACAAAACTTAGGGCAGTGTCATGGTAACACTCAAAATGCTCATCCTGGCTTGTGAGTTTTTCTGAGTGATCACAGCACTTCCCCGAGAGAACATCTTTCCCACGCAGCTGTGCTGAAAATACATTTTAATAGTAAACATGAAAAATAAACATGTTCTAGAAATGAATGTCCTCTCCAACTACGACACAGAACAGCAATAGCAGGAGTAAAAACCAAAGTATTTTACTAGGCAGTTACTAAGTTGTAGCATGGAATAGGGTCGATCACATACCAAAGACGGTTCACCTTTTGTTATCTCCTTCAGGACAGCACTGAGACTTTCACTGTTAAGCATTAGCACATGCAAGCTTCAGAATTTTCATTTCTATTTAGGATCTCCAATCGCCTGTAGTGACCACTCCATTAATAGCTCTACTATAAATACCTAATCATGAGACAGTCTGGCACATTCTCCTTGTTTTTTACATGTGGTTTAGCTCTGTTTGAAAACATGACCTCTTTATGCTACATTCATCAAATTTAAAGGACAGAATATTTTATTCCTGAAATAAAAAGCTTTTATGGGGGGGGGGGCTGACCAAGAAGAGAATTCCTTCTCTTAAAACTCATGCACATAGCACTGAAAAGTAGAATCTACTTCCCACTTAAGAGTCCGGGTCACTGAATTATCAGTAGTGACTGCTCAACAATCCAAATTTCTTGGGTAGCTGCACCTGTATTTTCTCTGGGTTATGGAATGGTGGCCTCAAGTGTCCTTGGAATTCTAAGAAAGGAATTAACTCTACACACACAAAAATAGATGAAATGAAATTTTTCTTTTGCTGAAGTATTTTAATGTACACTAATACTATGAGTGCATATTAAGTAATATATTAATTGTTAAAAATAATGCCGGGAGCACCTCACATTTCCAGCCAGTTGAAAAGCAAGTTTTGAGCCTCCTTTCCTTCTCGCAGGGGCACTTGAGAAATGAAGTCATCGCATTAGATACATGAACATATAGCTCTGTAACTGGCTCAGTATTTTCCTTATTGACAGTTTCTTGCCCAATTTTAAAGCTCAAGCATAATCACTTCTGGTAGTTGAGTAGGAAGTAAAATATCACTGAAGTGGAAGAAATAAATGACCTAACATGTATGAAAGAGATAAAACTTCTTAAGTTTTATCATTTAATCCCCTCAATTTCACATATATTTGGGAAATACATACATGCTTACGAATATATATATATAATATATATATATATATAACTTAAAGAAGGAAGTAAAAACTTTAAAGGTTTTTCAGATGCTTCAAAGGAACCCTTCTTTTCACATCTTCCGTCCAGAGGTGTCTGTAACTTTATGGGTCCACTTAGAAGGCTCCATTCCAAACTAGAGTGGCATAACAGAGAGGACCACCACACAAAACCAATCACAAAGACCACTATGCAGAATGACAGCAGGTACTTGATTTTTTAAATATATATATACATTAAATAAGCTATAATGTATTATTAAATAAACATATTTAATATATTTAATATTTATATTTTTAAGAAATGGTTTTCTTTAGTCTTACAAATACTTTTTAAATTTGTCCAATTTAATCATCCAACTGGCAAAGCAATGCGACCCCACGCTTGATCCAGTGCTGGGTGGGCTGGTCTGTTTTCAATGACATTGCGATGACAAAATTCGTGGAATGTCCTGTGGTGGAAAGGGTTCCTTTGCGTTCACTTGTCTTGTAGAGGGGGCAGACATAGGCACTGGATTTCACAATCTGAGACTTTTGAGCTTGAAAGAAAAGGAAATGTTCACTTGTTAAAGGGACAATAGCCACTGTACTAAAAGAACAGCATTTATCTTGCAATAAAATGGCTGGTCCTGAATTTAAGTCTTGATCATGAAATTTGCAGACCTGAAAGTTTTTTTAGTTATGTTGTAAAGCAAGGCAAGTTATTTCATATGGTGTACGATTCCAGGACTAGAAGACTAGAATTGGTTTTAAAATCACTTAGCAGCCATGAAGAAACTTAAGAGGACTTATAAGGAAGGAGTAAGCGAGGGAGAAGGTAATGAAGAAGGAACAAAACATGCAGGGTGGGCAGTAGGGAAGGCACTTGGAGCTCTAAATGAAGAAACCCATACATTAGAAGCTGAAGTTTCTATTTGTGTTTAGATTGTTAATAGGAAAAACACATCAACTCTAACCGACTCAAACAATCTACATACAATTCCTGAAATGTCAGGTACCAGATGTTAGGAGCTAAGGCCACATTTCTGATCACAGTTGACTCACATTAATTATGAAAATATTTGAGAGGTTGGATGGTGATTTACAAATGTTCTCATTTACTGGTATTTAAGAATTTTTTTAAAAAATTGACAAGAGAAGGGGCCGGCGCTGTGGCTCAGCAGGTTAACGCCCTGGCCTGAAGCGCCGGCATCCCATATGGGCGCCAGTTCAAGTCCCAGCTACTCCACTTCTGATCCAGCTCTCTGCTATGGCCTGGGAAAGCAGTACAAGATGGCTGAAGTCTTTGGGACCCTGCACCCGCATGGGAGACCCAGAAGAGGCTCCTGGCTCCTGGCACATGGCTTCGGATTGGCGCAGCTCTGGCCGTTGCAGCCATCTGGGGAGTGAACCATTGGATGGAAGACCTCTCTCTCTCTGCCCCTCCTCCCGCTGTGTAACTGTGACTTTCAAATAAATAAATTAATTAATTAAAAAAATTGACAAGAGAAAACAAAACAGTGAGCCAAATTTTCTCAGACCTGTGGGCAAATGATAGCAGGAGGAAGAAAGGACCAAGTGGGTTAAAGCTGGCTTCTACCCTGCCTATGCCTAAGGCTTCCCTGTCTATGTCTGAAGCTCCCAGGGTTTCCAAAAGCCAGAGAATGCTGGTCACCAGCAGCAGACACGGGAGACCGTGTCAGGCTTCTTTGTGTTGCTGAGCTGTCTGTAAAAGGAATTCAGGATCAAAATATGGATGGGTAACTACACGATCTCCAAAATTCATTGTAGATGTGTTGGGGAGGGGTAAAGAAAGTGATACACCCCAGGGGGTAGCATTTGGCACAGAGGTTAAGCCAATCAGGACACCCACATCCTATAATGGGGTGTGAGGGTTTCCAGTCCCAGCTCTGTTTCCTGCCAGTGTGCACCCTGGGAGGCAGCAACTGATTGCTCAAGGACTTGAACCCCTGCCATCCACATGGGAGACCTCAAATTCCAGGAGCATTTGGGAAGTGAACCTGCAGATGGAAGATCTATGTCTGTCACTGTTTCTCTCCTGCTTCTCTGTTTTTCAAATAAATAAAAGAAATTTTTTAAAAAGAAAAGAAAATGATATATTCCATGGGCTAAAAGCATAGAAATGCAGAATGACAGTCTTTAAGTTATACACATACCACACATAAAAATAGAGAACAATAGATATCCAATGTCAATATTCCATCATGATTTATTATAATGGAGCTAAATCTTAAAAGGTTTATCAGAAACTTATTGGGGTCAGTTAATAACACCTTAATTATCTCCCCCAACTTGAAGAAATCTTATTAAAAGCATATTTACTTGGTTTAATCCATATGATGGGCATCAGGTCAAACAGAAGTTTGGGATATTGTTCAGCAAGCAATCCACTGTGAAGAGAAATTGACAAATCTTGTTACAAATAACTTAGGAAATTTGCTTCTTAGAGCAGATTGCTACTTACATGTTGGCTTTTAATTTAAGACAGGACCAGAGATATGGAGGAAAACAAGTATTTTTTTTAAAAAAAAGCAGCAGCAGCATTGAGAGGGAAAAAAAGATGAAAGAAAGGTCAAGTGGAGGTGCTGGCCCTGTGGGAAGGGGTTTAAGCCACCGACTGCAACACTAGCATCCCATATGGGTACTGGTACTCAGCTCTCTTCTATGGCCTGGGAAAGCAGCAGATGGCCCAACTGCTTGGGCCCTTGCACCCACAAGGGAGACCAGAGCAGCTCCTGGCTTTGGATTGGCACAGCTCTGGCCGTCACAGCCATCTGGGGAGTGAACCAGTGGATGGAAGACCTCTCTCTCTACCTCTGCCTCTCTGTAACTTTGCCTTTCAAATAAATAAATAAATCTTAAAAAAAAATCTCATATGGATGTTCAAGTCCTGGCTGCTGCATTTCTGATCTAGCTCCGTACTAATGCGCCTGGGAAAGCAGCAGAGGATGGAACAAGTGCACGGGCCCCTGCACCCACGTGGGAAACTGGAAGAAGCTCCTGGCTTCGGTCTGTTGGACCAAACAACACAATCCTGGCTATTGTGGTCATTTGGGCAGTGAACCAGTGAGTGGAAGACTTCTCTCTTTGTGCCTCTGCCTTTCCCTCTCCTTAACTCTACCTTTCAAGTAAATACATGAATCTTTAAAAAACACTGAGAACAAGAAGTTGTGTTAAACCACAGAAGGCCCCAAATAGCCAATAGAATATTGAGCAAAAAACAAAGTAAGAGGCATTACATTACCTGACTTTAAGATGTAATACAAAGCTACACCAATTACAGCAGTATTATACTGGCATTAAAAAAAAAAAGACACAGACCAATGGAACAATAAAAAGACTCTCGAAGTAAACCTATGAGATCTACAGCCAACTGATCTTTGACAAAGGTACCAAGAACATCCGTTGGAAAAAGGACAGTTTTTCAACAAACGGTGCTTGGAGAACTGGACCTACATATACAGAAGAATGAAACTAGATACCCCTACCCATCTCTCATCATGTACGAAAATCAACTCGAAATGGATTAAAGACCTAAGTGTAAGACCAGAGACTTTGAAACTAGTAGTAGGAAACAT